ACCCCCCCCGGCCCCCCCCCCGTGCCCGGCCCCCGCCCGGCTCCCGGCTCCCTCGGCAGCCGGGGCAGAAAGGCAGCGGAGCCGCCCCGCTGAATATGTTGCCGAAACAGGGCGGGGGGTACTGGGTCCAAGGGTGCTGGGGACGATAAATTGCCTCCCTGCCCTCTGGCAGAGAGAGTATCTGTGGCTGTGTCCCTCTCTGAGGAGGGGTCAGCTCCATGCGGCAGTCTCTGATAAATGTGACTTTGTTAACATTCCCAGGGGGTCAAAGACCCAGATGTTTGTTCCTGTGCAGCAAGCAAGATCCTGGCATCCTTTCCTCAGTCCAGGTGCAGATGTTCCCTGTCTCTGCTTAGACCACCGCATTCGCTTGTTTCTCCCGTGACTCCCACTTGAAAGCACCTCACCATCGCAGTTTTCAATGGGAAAATTGATATGCTAAAGTACAGCCCAATGTAGTAAGGGGATCTGATTCAGGTTTGCCACCAGATATGATGAAAAAGGATCAGATTCATTTTCTTTCCCTTGTATAGATAGCTACCTCAGGCTATCGCAATCCTATAGCAGGAAGATGAATTGCAGTTAATGAAACCACTTGGAAGGTAAATTATTTACCCAAATGAGTAAGAATAACAGAATCTGGCCCGTGGATGCAGAACTGCAGAATAATTCAACAGACGTATTTTAATGTGCATCTTGTGTAAGTCGCTCTGGTGCACACTTTGTTAGTAAATTAATTTAATGTGATAAGGGGAAGGTTCACTGTTGGAGAGCTGGGTTCAGGGATATATGTTCTCTACCATCGTGCCCATTTTAATGAAAAGCATCTCCCTGTACAAGCCGTTAAAAAGAAAGACGTGCCTATTGACATGATCGAATTTTACCTCTCAGAACAGTGAGGGGAAGAGCACAGGTGCAGCAAACTTGCTGCTATCCACACCTTTTGCCTGGCCCGTACAGTCCTCCCCTACATGGCAGAGCTTGAAATACAGCTTCTAAGTAGATATAGACTATGGCAGAAAAGAAAATGGAAAGATAACAATATTGCTGAAAATATTACAGCTTTCTAGAGACTGGCAGTGAGGAGGGGGATGCAAAAAAAGAGCAAAAGCACTTTCCTCTGCAAAGAGTAGCAGAGGCAGAGTTGTCACTAGCCACATCTTCTGTCGTTACTGTGTTTTGCTCTCTCTCTCCACCATCTCATTTCTTCACCTGCTGAGGCTGCCTATGGCCATCCTTTTTATACTTGCTTTTTTCCCCCCGACCCTTTTCCCTAGAGGAAGCTTCCTTTTGAGGCACTGGGGATACAGTCTGTTTCTCGGGACTGTAGCAAGCTGGGCAACTAGCAACTGAAAACGTTTAATCCTATTTCTCAGTCTGATACAAAATACTTTCAGAAGCTGTCTCTGCCCAGTTTTGGGTGTTCATCTGGCAATTCCTAGGACAATAAGTGGAGAAGGACAGGAGGGACAGTGGCTTAGCCATTCCTCCGGAGGGAGTACCCGCTAGGCTTGTACGCGGCCAGCCATCACCCGCTGCTGCTGCCACCCAGGAGGGAAAACTGCAGATCTGCCATAGCAATGTCTGGTGCAACCCTGAGATGGGGGGAGATGTGTCCCACATGGAAGAGGGATGCAGGTCGTAGGGGAAACTCAGGCATCCAAATATCTCCCTACAGCTTGGTTCTAAGCTCTCTGGGTAATAGTTTAGGCACTATCAAAGCTATATATATTTTACACTTTATTTTTTAAAGTGTGGATCTTGATTTCTCTGTGTGTCAGCATTCCCCAAAGGATATTAGGTATTATTATTTCATGTCCATGAGATTCTGTACATGAACCATTTGTGTTTTAACAATAGTTCTGAAAACAAATCTTAATTACTCCTGACTTTGAGCTAGGAATAAAGTACGGAGACTTCAGGTCTGGTTAGATGTCATAGCTGAGCTGCTCTAATGGCTATGGAAAGAAACAAGCATGTTCCCTCCTCCTCCTCCACTATCACCTCCCTGTTTTCCTCTTGTTCTTGCCTGCCTAGTCCAGTCCCTTCCCCCAGGGAAGGGATATGTCTTGCTGCCCAGTGAGTTTTCTCAACTCAGTAACAGGGCAGAAAGCTGTAAAGCTGTTCTCTGCTGAGGTTATTTTCAGAGAGGTTAGAAAGTCCTGAGGACGCCACCAGGCACACTGGTAGAGCTGTTGCAGGGAAGCGTGTTGCGGGGCCAGGCGCTCTGGGACGCTGGAGGCAGAACTGTCCCGCTGGCTCAGCTGTGCCACACGTCTGCACCTGAAGGATGCAATGAGACATTAGGGATACGGTGATCTAAATGGAAACGGGTGCTGAAAGGAACAGTCCTGTCCCCTTTTTCACCCCTGCCATATGCTTCCCCTGCTTCTTTGGCAGCTGGATGAGGGTAGTTAGCCCGGCAGGCAGCACCTGGAGGCTTCTGAGTGCGCTTTTCATTTCCTCCCAAGATACCAGCTAAAATTCACTGAATTTTGGGGTGTGTAAGGAGCCCACATCCTTCTCTTTGTTTTGGGAACGGCTGCTACACACAGCGAGTGCAATTCTACCTTTAACATACAGGTGTCTGGTGGTTTGAAATTACGGAATAAGAAGAAATTGACTAAGAAAAAGCAATATTTTTAATATAGTTTTAATAAAGTTTTTAATAGTTTTAATAAAAAATAAAAGTACAAGGTGAAAGGAATCTGATGAAGGAAATGCAAGTTGCATGACATTCACGTTACACTGTTTACCAGTTTCATTTTATGGCAAATCCCACAGGAGGCATTTGCAGGGAATAAAACCCTGTCTTCCCAGAAGTTTTTGATACAGCATTCAGCCAGTGGAAAGGGTTTGTATCTAGTTATTCAGTCTCTGAAATTTCAAATATCCCACTGACTTTAGTGGGAGTGAAAAGTTGGACAATTCTGGTAAATATAGGTGTGTGTGTACACATACCTTCATGTATGTACCTGTATACATACACACATACACATAGACATCTTCAGAACAGATCAAGAATTGACCCAGAAAGCTGGGATTCAGTAAAAGATAAAAGCCTGGGTGCTTTAGGATCAGGGGGTTTAGGCTTCAACAACAATCTGTTGCTAGCTGCAAAATTCAAAGCTAGTTTTAGATTTTCCTAAACTTCAACGTTCTTCAGGCTAACAGAGTTAATTCTAGTGCATCCTCTGTAAAATATCTAAGTGTCTCTCTGTCCCATAGCAATTTTCCCTTGGAAAAAAACCTCTGCATCAGAGAAACTGTGCTTCCTGTATATATTAAAATGTGTCTATTTCACACTGCATTCCTGTATTCCTAAAGGAAGCTATATTCCTATTCTCATTTTAACTGAGAATTAAGCTTGATG